AGTCCAATGCTTTGCAATGAGCAGAGACCAAGGCTCATTCCCCTTTAGCCTTGCTGCTTTGCAGAGATGTTCCAGCAGCACCTGCCACTCTCCTTGCCACCCGTGGACACCTGCCCTGCACAGAGCGCATCCCCCTGTTCCCTGCTGCCGGTCCCCATGGACACCTGCCTGGACACTTGCTCTCCCGCTGTCCCCACCTCTCTGGATGCACCTCTGTGTTGCACCATCAGTGCATGTCCAGCAGCGGTTGACTGTGGCTCCAACCAAGAGCAGCAAGGGACCAGCTTCCCCATGCAGCATGCAGGCTCCCCAGTGGAGCCCTGCACCTTGGAGGTGGTGGGGACCTGCGTGGACACCTTCCCCATGCAGCATGCAAGCTCCCCAGTGGAGCCCTGTACCCCRGAGGTGGTGGGGACCTGCGTGGACACCCTCCCCATACAACATGCAAGCTCCCTGGTGGAACCCTGCACTCCGGAGGTGGTGGGGACCTGCGTGGACACCCTCCCCATGCAGCCCCCAGCCTCACCGGTGCAGCCCATCTCTCCTCAGGGCGCAATCACCTGCCAGCTGTGCCCGGATCGGTGCTTCGCCCCGCAAGCGGGTCCCTGCGCAGCGCCAAACGCGAGCTGCATTGAGCCTGGCGTGCCCCAGAGCGCGGTGGCACCCGGGGACAGCGGCCACCCCCAGCAGGCACCCGGGCGTCCCCAAAGCCGCACGGCTGCCATCGTGGAGCGGTGCCTGGCGAGGTGTGAGAAGTGGCTGCGAGGCAAAAAATAGCACGAAATGGAGCTTTCCTTGCAGAAATGGGACCTCCCTCTGGTGGTTCTCCTGATTTCTCATTTGTATGAAGAGGAGAGAGAAGGGTTTCATATTAAGCAACCTTTTTTTCCCAATTGGCTCATAATTATGACCCTTATTTCTACTGAATAATGTTAAGTGCAGTAAAAATAGCAGGAATATGGGCAATGTGAGTAATTGCTTTCAGAGACCTGTTTCTTCATCTTCCAACTTCTTTCTTACCMCATACAAATAACTACTTTCATATTAAGTCTTAAATTCAGTTAGGATCTTCTGGCTGGGCTTGCTATCCTCTTTTGTAAGCATCTTTTAGGTTGAAATTATTATGAGAATATTAAGAAAAGTAGCTTAAAGGGATCATTTTGGGAAAGGTCTTTTAAGGATTCATAAATAGAGCAGGAGGAACCAGGGTGAGGAAAGAGCAAAGACTGAATAAGGAGTTCAGAAGGCACCGGGAGGGGAGCAATGCTGTGCTGCAGACACCTCATGGTCGCTCAGCTTCCAGTTGGAGACAAGGTTGAACCTGGTGCAATTAAAAGGTTTCATGATGTGCTGGAGCAACGGCAGGAAAATGTCAAGAATCAGCCAAGTTTTCTGCAAAGAGCCCCTGGGAGAAAGCCGTTTTTCCTGACCTATGTTGTTCTCCACGTCCATAATGTCCTCTGTTACAAGGCGGTTTCCACCAGTATGGACATCAAATCACACCCACGTGCTTGCACTGTGTGTCTGTGCGCTTACAGAGCTGAAAGGAGTCTGTATATTGCACCAATAGCTGCAGCACATTGAATCGCGAGAATAAATCTTCGTGAACCTGAAAAGTTATTTCCTTCCTCTTTTATTTCTTGGTAAAGAAATCCACTGCTCTCCTTCCAAGGCACTACACACTTCCACCGGGCCTGGAACTACCTACATTATCCATCATGTTGCAATACGGCTCTGCTACAAGCTAGATTAGATCTGCAGGGTTTGACTTTTGAAACACCTGTAAATCAATCCCGAACGAAGATAGCCCATAGGAACATAAAAATGACRGCGGAACATGAAATTAAGATGACGAGCAGAGC